AAAAAAAAAAAAAAAAAAAACCCTAAAAAAATGTAAATATAAAAAAAAGCGCAATGTACTTCGCTTTCTAACCCGAAACGTAAATCAGCTTCAAGATTCAATTAAACCCGAGTTCTGACTATGGATGACGAAAAAGTCAACCATTCTGTATATGAGAGGCAGGGTCGAATTGTTTTTTTTTTCTTTTCTTTTTATTTCTTTTCTTTTCTAGCGAGTATCTTTTTCTCTCGCGTTTTCAAAGGGGGTTCCCCCCTATCATTATTATAATCATCTCTTTCGTTCAGTATTCGAACTCCCGACCAGCTCGCTAACTAACGGTTAAGAACGTGTGTATAAACTCCGCCACAGGGCACAGGCTCGCACAGGCTCAGTATTCCATCTGCCCTGTCGATTGTTCCCCTCTGTGATTATCGTATTCACCTGGATTCGAACTCGCGACCTGTTTATCAACTAGCGGTCGAATGTGGGAAAGAATTCCGCCTCCGCCACACGGCGAAGGCGCAATATTCCATTTCCCTGTTGATGCCACGATGGTTTGCCGCACTCAGTATCGTGTTGAGCTGATTCTTTATCAGTATTCGAACTCACGACCTGTTTACTAACTGAAGGTCGAATGTATGTATAAAATCCGCCACACGGCGCAGGTGCAATCTTCGATTGCCCAAAAAATAAAAATAAAAATAAAAATAAAATAAAAAAATTTAATGCACCTGCAGGTGCAAATCTCGCATTCACCTGCCGTCGCTGCCGATATTTTGCCCCAGACAGTATCTTGTTCGTCTCCATTTTTTGTCAGAGTATTCGAACTCACGACCCGTTTACTAACTACCGGTCGAAAGTGACTAAGGGTCAGATCCCACTACCCTGGATTATTCCTTTTTCACCCTCGATTACGAAGATCAACGGTCAGAAATGAACAATAGGGGCTATTGGGATCTGCCCCTAAATGGGGCAGCAGCAGTCTTCCATTTACATGTCGACGGTCCTGCTTAACTGACCGTCTATAGAGGAGATTAAGGTCAATCTTGACCAGAAACAGAGAATCGACTGTCCAGTCGATTAAAATAAACAAATAAATAAGTGAAAGATTGAGACCTCGATCCGCTACACAGTCGAGGCGAAGCTGGATTTATAAAGATGGTAAGAGAGGCGATAGCTCTGAGGGCGTCTTAGCGACGGGCACTCGGACATCCGTGGATGCTCGGCGCCGAAATTACGTACAATTTCGTGCAAGAAGTTGGGAAGTGCAGCAGAGCAAGGTTGGTGGCAAGCAGGGAAGCGGGCTCGATGAAATGGGCGATCGAGGACGAGTCCCTGCTCGGCGGGAGAAAGTGGAAAAGCAGAATCATTGAAGGTAAGAACGAGGAAAGAGAGAGAAGGAGAGCACGAGAGAGAGAGAGAGAGAGAGAGAGAGAGAGAGAGAGAGAGAGAGAGAGAGAGAGAGAGAGAGAGAGAGGTCCATCGCCATGACTGGGTGTAAGGTACTGATGGAACGAGAGATCGAGATGGAGTCCCTGATCGACGGGAGAAAGTGGGGGAGCAGAGGATTCAAGGTCAGAAAGAGGGGAGAGAGAAGGAGGGCATGAAATGAAAGACACAGAGAGACTGCGATGTCCACGGCCAAGGACTGATAGGTCTGGAGATGGGGAATCGGATTAGGGGGGTGTTGATTGGGTCGCCGCCGCCCAATGGAGGGGATACGTTCGAGGGGAGGAAGATAATGTGGCGGGTGCGCCTCGTGGCTGGAAGAAGAATGTGACGAGTGCTTCTCTTCACTAGAAGAAATAAGAAGAGTGTGAGGAATCCTACCGCAAGTCATCACCTGGGTCACTCTGGGTGCGGCTCGCGGTCAGGCGAAGAATTTGATTCGAGAGCCTGTTGCCTAGTCAATTTCTTCCCCTCGGCCAGGGGAAGAATTCGATTTTTCAGCCTGTTGGCTAGGGGAAGCATTTGAGGGGAGGGCCTCTTGGCTCGGAGAAGAGTGCGAAGGCTGTGCCTGTACGCTAGCAGAGGAACTTGATTGATGCGCCTCTTGGCTAAGAGAAGCATCTGACGCCGCCTTCTCCTCTTGGCTGGCAGAACCACCTGACCCGCTGGGAGAAGCAACGGACCCGCTGGGAGAAGCAGCTGACCCGCTGGGAGAAGCATCTGACTCCGGCTTCTCCTCTTGGCTCGGAGAAGCACCTGACCCGCTGGGAGAAGCACCTGACCCACTCGGAGAAGCATCTGACGCCTTCTCCTCTTGGCTCGGAGAAGCAGCTGACCCGCTGGGAGAAGTACTTGACCCCCTTGAAGAAGCACCAGACCCGCTGGGAGAAGCAACGGACCCGCTGGGAGAAGCACCTGACCCGCTCGGAGAAGCAACGGACTGACCTGGCGAGACAACTGACTCGCTCGGAGAAACTTCCGACTCGATGGGAGAATCATCAGACTCGATGGGAGAGACATCAGACTCGATGGGAGAGTCATCAGACTCGATGGGAGAGACATCTGACTCGATGGGAGAGGCATCTGACAGGCTCGGAGAAACACGAGAAACCCCAGGCCAGCTCGAAGACGAAGGAGCTTCGCTTGGAGAAGTAACTGACTCGCTCGCAGGAGCTTCGGTGGGAGAAGTAACTGACTCGCTCGCAGGAGCACTGGATGGCGCCGGCTGTTGGCATTCAGGCTGGTTGCACGGCGGCTCTCCTCCTTGGCTAGCAGGAGCACTGGCAGACGGCTTCGGATTTTGGCATTCAGGCTTGTTGCACGGCGACTTTTCTCCTTCGCTAGCAGGAGCACTGGCAGACGGCTCCGGATTTTGGCATTCAGGCTGATTGCACGGGGGGCTTTGTGCCGGGCGGGAAGACTCTGGCGGCGTCGGTTGTTGGCATTGCGGCTCGTTGCACGGCGGCTTTTCCGCTTCGCTAGCAGGAGCACTGGATGCCGCCGGCTGTTGGCATTCAGGCTGGTTGCAGGGCGGCCCCGAGGGGTGGGGCTGACTCCCGCCGCCACCGCCGCTGCCCCCGCCGCCGCAGACGTGCAGCGCCTCTTTATCGAGCGCGAGCTCGAATATCGACCCCTCGTTCCCGCCAACGTACAGCTTGTCCTTGTTCAAAGTCAGAGCCCAGACCCCGGCGCGGGAACCCGTACCTGAGCCATCTTGCCTCTCAGAGCTGACGATTGTCTCGACGCTTTTGGCGCCGCCGCATGGCGATTCCATCTTGATCCATCGAACGGATCCTCCGATCTGCGACACGAAGACGTTACAGCCATCAGGCGTGACGACGATGTCGCGCAGGCCAGCGAAGGTTGCATTGCCGCCATCGCCATCGCCATCGCCATCGCCATCGCCGCACTCCCCTGTGCCGGCGACCCAGCTCACCTTCTTGGACCCCGTCTGCAGCACCCACAGCTTGTTGTGTTCTCCGTCAATGAAGAAGAGGCAAGCGCCATCAGACGCAAAACTCTGGTGATTGAAATGAATCGTTGATATGTTCGGATCGGTCCCGTTGGGAAAGCTTGCGACGGCATTCCAGGTCGACTGTCCCCCCTCCTCGGTGTCGTTGTTGCCAACGACGATACTCACGTTCTCGACGGCGACGAGCGGGGCGGCGAGAACTCTCGCCGCCGGCTTCCCCACGTCTGCGAGGTACAGATGCGTCTTCGCCGGGTTCAGCGCCAAGCTACCGCCTCCTACGTCCTTGGGCAGGGGAGCAGAGGTCCAATTACGATCGAGCACGGAGAGGAAGGCGACCCTGGTGGACAGGTTCATGCCGGCCACGTCCGTGCTTAGCATCAGACGGCTGCCATTTGGCGCAAGATCCATAGCTTGGATCCTCGACATCTTCGTCATGGAAATTGCCGATTGATATACGATGGGCTCGACACGTGTCGTCCCATTGAGAGTCGCGTTCGGCCACCAATAACTGACCAGCTCGTCTTGTGCAGACTCCTGCAATCCTTGCTCCAGCGGGGCGAGATCACCCCTCCTCACAGACATCACCTGATGTCTGATCACGCCATTCGATGTCTGGCAAACATCGTCGACGACGTAATAGAAGACAGTGCCCGCCGGGTCTGAAGAGTTAAAGACCAAGTTCTTGACCAAAGAAGCGCACGACAATCCGTTGCTGTCATTGCGCGAGTCGAGAGCAAGCGCCGGTGCGAGCTTCAGCACAGTGCGAACGTCCTTGACGAGGTTTGGCTGCAGATTGGTCAGGTTCACCATAGCCAAAGCTTCCCGGCGATTCTCCTGCTGCGTCCACGTGTCGAGACGAAAGCCCGATCCGGCGTCAAAAAGACTGACGCGGGCGGCGTGACCATTTCCCACGAGCAACGCAAGGACGGTGAAGATCAAGAAACACCGCCGCCATGGCGAGCTTGCGCCCAGGCTACCGGTAGCGGACCGATCCATCTTCCGACCGGTCGCCCTTCCTCTCTCTCCAATTCTTCTCCTAACTACCAACGACCGAGCGCCTCTTCGTCTTCTCTTACGCCACGTGGACACACTCTTTTCCCCCCTGACGGCATGAGTGGGAGAGCAGAAAACGCCGCTCTTCTCTCATCTCCTTCTCACGGAAACGCCATAGCCATAGCTTGACCTCGCTTCACCCACGAGGAGGAGGACGAAAGCTTCTCCCACGGACTCAACCATTTGAAACAGGGGCCGTGCAGGTGTGTGCACGTGCACCCGCACGCAATCACACACAGACAGAGAGCACGCGAGCGACGCAGAGCCAGAATGACTGATAAATAGAATGGAGGGAGACTCAGAGACTCACAGAGAGAAAGAAAGCTGCTCGCTGCACCCCTGCAGCGATTGCCTCTTTTACTTCTTTTTTTTTTTTTTTTTTGTGATTGCCAACTTAGGGCCTAGCACGTGCACCGCTCCTCGTTCGTCCATATTGTGAATGCATCGGGACACCGGCCCTGTCTATGTGCATTCCTAATCTTGGCGGATGGCGAGTGGAGCAGCTCTGTTGGGGTGAGTACTCGGGGCGGGAACACTCCATGATGAGCCAAGAAAGGTTTTTTTTTTTTTTTTTTTTTTTTGCCCTTTTTTTTTGCCTTCCAGAGAGCATATTCGATCTAGCTCCTTCGTTAACGTATCTGACCGCAATCACGGCCGTCGTGCATGTATCTGTCCGCATTCACGTCCGGATGTTAGTCGGAAAAGACCTACTCTTAAAAAAAAAAAAAAAAAAAAAAAAAAAGACCTACTCTGAGTATGCTTTGATCCCGGCAACTCCACACACTCGCAGCAACTCAGCGTAGACTGCCGACTCGATCTACCTTATTTCCCCGAACACAGCGCACCCTGATAATGAATGTATACAAGGTACTTTTCAGGCTCGGTACAGCCATAATGAGGGTGCGTTGTGTTCCGGGGAAGATGGTAGCACTTTCTTAACGTATCTGACCGCGATATTGTCGCCAAGCTCAAGCTTTCGGTTCTCACAGACCAAGATTCGAGCTAGGGATTCCTTGTTTTTTGTTTTTTTTTTTGCCCTGGGGATTCCTACTCAGGTATCACCACGGAATTGACTACCGTCCTCATGCGAATAGTAATCACATTCTTTATCGCCGTATCTAGACCTCAAATTGCCCCAAATGCAGTTCAAATGACCGTGCATTCTGTTCAGGTGAAGGTGGTAAGCACCAAAACCCATCTACATTACAAAAGAAAAGAAAAAAGAAAAAAAAAAAACATTTACGGGAGGGGTTAGGAAATCAATCATTGCATAGCGCCTGCAGCAGAATGGCACAGGCATGGCGCCTCCCTCCACTGCTCACCAAACGTGCAAAATTCAAAATGAATCTTCCGCTACAACATGGAAAGATACACCGCCATATTTCTTGTCTTTTTTTTTTTTTTTTTTTTTCTTTCTCTATTTCTTGTCTATTTCTTGCCTTTTGTGCATGTGGTGAGTAGTGGAGCGAGGCCCATGAACTGCTCAAATCAGGGCCTCGTTGCACTACTCGCCATCCGCCAACATTTTGATTGCATCTGGACATCATTTTTGTGCAGATGCATTCGAAATCTTGGCGGATGGCGAGTAGTGCAACTAGGGCCTCAGATGAACAGTTGAAAAAATTAGCAAAAATCAAAGAACAGAACGACTGAAATTCATCATTGTCAAAAAAAATAAAAAATAAAAAAAAATTCATGATTGTACAAGCCATCACACTGCCCTTGTTCTTTTTAATTCTTTTCTTTTCTTGTTGGCCACTGCCTTTCATGGCAAGTGTAGTATCTGTTCTGATCAGTTTATGGGCCTCGCTGCACTACTCCCGCAATGTGCAGAGTGAGATTGACTCCACCGCTAGAACATGGAAAGATAGATTGCCATCTTTTTTTTTCTTTTGTGCATGTGGAGCGTAGTGCAGCGAACCCCTATCATCTTTCTTTTTTGAAAACCCATCCGCGGTCATTCCCTCGGCTTTCGCCTTCCCGCCTCAAGTACGTCCCGCCTCCGATGTCATTCGCAGCTTTTTTTTGGATCTGATTATGGGCATCGCCACAGCACTCTTCACGTGTGCAAAATAAGAATGAACTCACCTCTAGAACATGGCCAGATGCACCCGCCACATTTTTGTCTTTTTCGCATCTCGAGCGTGCTGTCGCGATGCCCTATGACAGGAGGCGGGTTCGCCCCCCTCCTCTGTTTATCAGCAGTTGTATATGCGTACCATTCAGCAGGTTGGCTAGGTCTTCCCGCCATTTTCACTGCCTGTCTCACAGTTTCGATGAGCCTCTTCAAGAAGACAAAAACATGGACTTTTTGACTTTTTTGCATTCCCGCCATTTTCCTTTCGTGTCTCCATCTCAGCAGGGGTGGCTAGGTCTTCCCGCCATCTTGCAAATGCCCTATCAGCAGTTGCATGTGTGTACACTCCAACGTTCTAGGTGAAGGTGCTGCGTACCACAATGGGAGACTCCTGCCTGCCCTCCTTCCTGGGAAAAAAATTAAATACTACGTTTTTGCGTATTTTTGGACGGAACTGCGGCCACATACATCCAGGTATGGTGTGAATGCGGTCAGATACATTTGAGATACTGCTAGTGTGAGTACGCCCTAAGAAACGATGACATTTTTCCCAGATAGGACAGGATCCTGACTTCATGACTACAGTCATTTCAGACTGTGTAACAGTTCTGTGTGACAGTTTGGTAGTGCATGGGGTTTAGAGTAAGAGGCTCGCCACACAGGCTGTCGAAAACCCGGTTTTGGACAATTTTGCGTAGCCACACAGACTTTAGAAGAATTGCCACTCAAAAAACTTTCTACAGGTGTCAGGATGGCACTTTAGACAGCCGCCCTCCAGCAACCGTTTCCTCCAGCCTGCAGGTGACGGAAATTCGACTGTGGCCCGCCCTCCTTTCGAAAAACGCCTCCTATTTTCGGTTCTCCGGGACTGCTCCCTGACAGCCGTTGCCTGTTTGTCCATATGTAGTCAACAGTTGCTGTCGAAAACGGCGTTGACATCTGGTCCGCTTGTGCGCACAAATTCATCCCTGTAACAACTCCCAACAGGCCACCGCCTTCGCCACACAGCACCTGTACAAAGGCTGAGTCTACTTGGCAACTTTCGACAACCTCGCCGCTCGACAGGCTATGTGGCAAAGGGGGGCGAAACTGTCGACGGCCCGACTGTCGAAAATTTTCTGACACCTGTCAAAAATTTTCGACATTAGACAGCCTGTGTGGCGAGCCTCTAAGGGCCTCGCCACATCAATGTCGAAAACTGCATTCTCTCCTCTCCACACCAATGTCAAAACTGCATTTTCTCCTCCCCACACAGCATGTCAAAATACGCGATGCGAAAAAAATTCAGGAGCTGTCAGGGAAAGGGTTTCGACACCTCCTCTCGAGAAGGGCTCTTTTCCCAGCCTGCAACTTGGACATTTTCAACAGTCCTCCTATGGGATGTCAAATTCTTGCCTGCACCAAGGCTTGTCCTATCTTCACCCCAATTTGTCTCTTTTGTGCATAGGACTCGTGAGTTCTTCACTTGGACATGATGTGTGGCGAAGAGGGGTTTTCTGTAGAAAGAGGGAATGTCGAAAATTTCCTGACATATGTAGAATTTCGTGATGTTTCGACATTGGTGTGGAGAGGCCGTAAGAGGCTCGCCACACAGGCTGCAGAATCTAGAAAATTTTGGACAGGTGTCAGAAAAATTTCGACAGGTGTCAGAAAATTCTCGACAGTGGGGCGGTCGCCACATAGCCTGTCGAGGGGCGAGGTTGTCGAAAGTTGGCAAGTCTACTCAGCCTTTAGACAGGTGCTGTGTGGCGAAGTTGTTACAGCGATGAATTTGTGAGCGCAAGCGGACCAGAGCGGGCTCTTCACGGGACCACCTGAAACCAGATGTCCACGCCGTTTTCGACAGCCAATTTCGACTACATATGGACAAACAGGCCACGGCTGTCAGGGAGAAGTCCCTGACAATGGAATATCGGAGGTGTTTTTTGAAAGGTGGGTGGGCCACTGTCGAATTTCCGTCACCTGCAGGCGGGGGAGAAAACGAATGCTGGAGGGCCGCTGTCGAGACAACGAATCTGACACCTGTCAAAAAACTCTTGAACGGCAATTCTTCGAAAGTCTGTGTGGCGATGCAAAATTGTCGAAAACCGGGTTTTCGACACCCTGTGTGGCGAGCCTCTAAGGGCCTTGCCACACCAGTGTAGAAATGGTGAAACATTCGACAACTGTCAGACCATTTTCGACATTCACCGTTTCTACACAATGACCGCCTTCGCCACAACGTATGTCTACGATGTATGTCTAAGACCCAGGATAAGCAAAGTTTCGTTGTTAGAAAAAGGGAAAAGAAAAAAGTAAAGAAAAGGGGAAAAGAAAAAAGAAAAGAAGAAGAAGACACACGATGTGATGTCGAAATCCGCACATCCTTCACAACCTCGTTTCCGTGATGTTGAAACTCGGCCCGCTGCAGGCAGGCCGTTCGACATCCACTTCTCTGAATCTCTGACGATTGTAGAAGTGTTTGCGACATTTTTTCTTCGACAGTCTGTGTGGCGACAAAAAAATGTAGAAAACTCCATTTTCGACATTGGTATGAGTCTCGTCGCACCAATGTTGAAAATTGCACTATAGACATTTTCTCCACGCCACACAGCATGCTGAAGTCCGACATGCAAAAAAAATTCAGGAGCTGTCAGGGAAAGGGTTTCTCATCTCCTGTCGAGAAGGGCTCTTTTCCACTTCAGGCCTGCAACTTGGACATTTTCAACAGTCCTCGGATGGGATGTCGAAATCTTGCCAGGATGTCGAAAAAGAGAAATTCAATGCACCAAGGCTTGTCCTATCTTCACCCCAGGTTGTCTCTTTTGTGCATAGGACTCTTGAGTTCTTCACTTGGACATGCTGTGTGGCGAAGAGGGTATTTCTGTCGAAAGAGGGAATGTCAAAAATTTCCTGACATATGTCGAATTTCGTGATGTTTCGACATTGGAGTGGCGAGGCCCTAAGGCTCTCGCAGCACGGCACACGAGACAAAAACGAAACGAGTGCATCTGCCCACGAAAGGGGGCAAACTACACTGG